GCCATATGTAATTATTGGGAAAAATCATGGATTTTTGTTTAGGAATGACCGAGTAGTTCAACAAAAAAAAAATCCCTAACTTTTAAACTTTTCTTTTTTTTCAAAAATCTTGATTTGAAAATAAAATGGGTTTTAGACAAGGGAAATTGTATTTGATAACCAAAATAAATCAAAGACATAAAAAATCGCAAAAAGGAAGAGTGGACTATATTTATTCTTGTTACCAAAGGTGCAATGATATCAGACCACCGAAACACGAGAACACACAAAGAGTTGAAAAACAATGGGTGCATTACACAACAAGGCACTTTCTCAAGTTTGTCTTACGTTAAAGACATTTTCCTATTCTGAAGACACTTGTTATACTTTAAAGACTCATAGTACCCATTTTACTCTCAATCTCTTCTTCTTAAAAACAAGAAGACAAAATATGTCATGTAGAGTAGATTATTGGGCTTCATCTTCTTCCTCAGTGTTCTTGCGGTTAGTTTTATGAGAAACATTTGTCACAAATCTTTAATCAGATCTGAATTTTGCCGATTACCCAGAAAATCCAAAATATATCACGGAAATGCCATCGACTCCGATTAGTTCGATGGCTGTTTCGAGGCAGCCGGAGCTCGATCAAGACGCGACGGTGGAATCAGAAGACTCATCCGCCGTGATATTCAGTATACCGGAAGTTTTAGACTATGTACGGTCACTCACCGACTGTTGGCGCGATGACGCGTCTTCTTCACGAGGAGATCTTCGATCCGACGAAATCTTCGATCGATTACGCGAGGAGCATCAAATCCTCCTATTACCTGAGGAAGACAATATGTAGGTTGGTGGTGAATTTTTGAGTCTACTGCATCATTTTTATTAACGAGGTGGACGGATAGTGGTGGACAAGTTTTATATTTCAGTCTAGGATGCCTATGGATTATCATAGTGTATCGTGTACAATATATTGTGGACAATTAGTGAATCAATATTACCATAGACAATTTACGTGTGCAAATTTGATATCTTCACCATGGTTATGCTTCTCAATTGTTTAAAAAATTAATTAGGTCAAAGTAAGAACAACAATAGACTTGTTGTTTCCTTTTTTTCACCTCGAAGGATTAAAACACTAAGAACCAATCTTTTATCCTTTTAGCAAGAACAACCTGTTAAGTGTAATGGACAGATTTCATCAAATTTACATGTACACATTTTTTATCCGACATCCACAAGGAACCATCCACAATGCCTCTCCATCCCATTTAAACACAACAAATCATAACTCTAATAAACTA